TCCCATCACACAGCTCAGAAAATATTAAAACACTAATGGACGTTGCTGCAGCATCAGGGATGAAAAGCTACTGCTCACTGGCTTTGACTTAAAGCAGTAGCTTAAATGAGCAAGAAATCATAGAATTAAAGACAAAGCCCGAGTGCTAAACTGTCAATGTGTACCACAGGCCAGGATCCCAGATTTCTTACCATGCACCAACGTGTCTCTAACCCCGGACCCTGCTGGGCAGCAGTGATGGTCTCGCTGGGGGACTGTGGAGGGGGAGGAAAAAGAAAACCCCAACAACCCCAAACAAGCCAGCAAATGAAACTACCTGGCGTGTTTTTTTCCGCCTTGGAGACACATACTTCTCCGAGGCAGAAGCTTTTAGGGGTAACATTCCCAAATCACTCGAAGGTGCCGGCCCATCCTTTCTTATTGGTTGCTATGGTGAGAGATGACGGAGCCCCAGCCGGGTATAATATGAGGCAGTGCGCAGGGGAGGCATTTAGCAGAGGCAGGAGGGAGGTGAGCGGTGGGAAGAGGGGAAGGCGCTGCCTGTCTCTGGCCACGCTGTTCACCGGCACCGACGGGCCACCGTGGACCTGCCCGGGGAGGTAAGCGGCTGCCCACAGCTCTGGGAGGGCTCAGCGATGGGCGTGGGTGCTGTTCTGCTCTTCACATGAGAGTGGTTAAAGTAGACGTTAAGATGGGCTGATCCTCGAGTGAATTAAAGGAGAGTTAGTTATAGTCAACGAGAGAGGAAGAAGGGAAAAACGAAACCGGCTCTATTGCATGGGGCTCTTGCTCAGAGCACTCGGCCAGCTGGGAGACAGAACCCTGCAATGAGGCTCGGAGAGCACTTTGGGGATCTAAAGGAGTAATGTACTGAAGTGATTTGTGGCTGTTGCTTAAAAGTAATTTGTTAGCGGTCAGTGTCTTTTATCTGGGGGAGAGCTTTATGCTTATTATTTATATATTTGTATTTCCCTAAAGGCATTGATTTTATAGTTCACCAACCTTCAGATTTCACATTTAAGATCCTGATATTACAGCATGAGATGCTGCAGGAACAGAAAGAGTTCATACTCTGTTAAGCAACAAGTAAGGTACAGAAAATGCAGCAACAACTTAAACCAGTGAATTAATCATTATGCAGCTTTTTGAATGGCATTTAAAATCAAAATATTTACTGGCAGCTTCACAAGGCAAGTTGGAGCTAGTTTAATGATCAGTTATGTTAACCACACTTGCAGTATCCTTTCTATTCCATGGGAAACAAAAAAGCTAAAAAAAGCTTCCTATTTAGACAATTAGTGAGAAAGAAGAGATGTTTTAAAAATCTAACTGGAGCATAAAGTATGTCCTATGTCTCAGTTGTTTTTTTTTTCTTTATGAAGCAAAGTAACATGGTAGTCTGGGCGCCAGCAGGATTTATCTGTTGTAATTTTAGCCATCCAAGACCTAGCATCCAATCTAAGCTAGCCAGGCATAGTCCCGAGTCCAATCTAAGGGCCAGTAAAGCCGGTGGAAAGACTTCACTGATGTCAGTGGCCTTGGAGCCTGTACACGAATCGGGAAACTCAGCCTCACCTTGCATCTGGTTTCAGGGGTACGATGAACATCGCAGTGCACAACGTCACTTACACCAGCGCCACCGTCTCCTGGGCCATGAGCAACCCCTGTCCAGAGAACTACTACCACGTCATGTACCGCCCCAACTGGAACAGCGTCTTTGCCGGCTATTTACGCCAAAACTTCCACCGTGAGGAGCGAGTTCCTCACCCTCTCAGCTCCCTTGTCCTCCATCGACTCACGCCATCCACCATCTACGTGCTCTGCATCACGTGCAAGAACTCTTACCCCTCTGGCAACCACTGCACCACCTTCCACACTCTGGACAAACCCCCCCTGGTTTTCGGTAGCTCTAAGCATGAACCTACCACCTCCATGTGGATGGTGAGCAGCCTGCTGCTCCTCTGCTTCGTTGCTCTCCTGGCCTACGGCTGCCTGCAGTTCTGGTCTGCACGGTGCCACTGGGCTGCGAGGCTGAAACATCCCGAGGCCAGCCCCGAAGAAGCAGGCGAAGGGAGCAGCTCACCAGAGGGGCCACTGAATGACGGACTGAGAGAGGAGCTTCTGGAAGTCCCCATGACCACTGTGCTAAGGAGGAGCTCCAGTTTCCTGAGGGAGAGTCCCTATAGCTCCCCCCACAGCTTTTTTTCCTATAAAAACAGCGATGACAAAAGGGCCATCTTGCCGCAGCACAGCCTTCAGTGAGAGCAAAACAAAGGGAGAACCTCCTTAGAGGTTTGGTTTGTGCTGCTCTTTCCCAGCTCTTGCCAACATGACTGTCTGTGTGTCCATGGGGGCTGTTTGTCCCAGCGTAGAACATGAGGCAGGGACATGGGTTGTAGGGAGAAAGATTTTTGTCAAGTGACTAAACTATTCTCATTTGTTGAGGGTTTTTTAAAAAGAAACTAAGTCGGATCTCTGGGAGCGGCCAGGCTTGGCTGACTGTAGTGTTGTTAGCTCATCTGCATCAGTGCTGTAGGTTCACTTCAGAGTCATCAATCAATGTGCTCAAGAAATAAACTCCACTCAAGTAGTTTCACACTTGAGTGATCCTCCACTAGCATCACACCCCAAGCCCTTGTAAAGCCTGTATAAGCGGTCATCGCAGCCTGACAAAAGAGCTTTTTGTCAGTATTAAGTAGTCTATATTTGCACACAGAAGTATTTTAGTAATTCCCATTTTGAACTACAAAGGGGATTCCTGAAGTGGTACCTTCCCTGGGGAGGAGCCCTGCTTTGGAGCTCCAACTTGCTCTCCTCTCTGTGCGTTCAGATGGATGCAATTCGGTCTCAGTGCCAACACCGAGCACAGAGCGGTGTCAGCATCCCTGAACATAGGCGTGTTATGAAGAGTATAGGAAAGAATAGCAAAAGCACACTGAATCTGCTTCTTGCATGGCTTGGCTTTTTGGTTGCACACAGCAACGTGGCCCTGCACGTGTGTACCTGCCCCTCCGTTAATGAACTAGTTTTTGCATTTCTTTCTTCCTAAATAAATACTTCCAAAATCCACCCCTTCTGGCTGTTGTGGCTCATTTACTGACCTTGGATCCGTAGAGGTAATATGGCTGAACATTGGCTGGCTTGTCCCGCTGAGGTTCCTGTGTGAATGGGATTGCTGTCCTCACAAACCTGTGGCAGGCCATGGGAGACAGGGAGGAGAGTGGTCACAGATGTGGCATGGTCTGGGATGAACTGCAGTTGCAGGCTAGTTAGCAATTCATCACCCGAGCTACATGAACTGGAACGCAAACTCCTGCCCCAATCCATTGGTTGTGTAAGCCATGACAGTTTAACCTACGAAAGGTGGGGTTTCTTCTTATTTGGGGCAGGCAAGAAACCCATATATGAGTAGCTACCGCAGCTCTGCTGCTCAGTAACTCGGCCTTCCAAACCAAACTAGCTCAGTTGCTTGCAATGACTGTCCAACTTCATTGCTTGAATTTGTTACTAATGTTTTCAAGGCCAAGGGGAGCTGGTGAGCTTTAACTTCATTTTAACTGTAACTGTTGCATCCCATAGGGAATGAAAACCTCAGTGCAATGCATATGAATTTTATATGGTAGGTTTGACAATCTGGAAAGACAGGTAGGGTCTCCAGGTGCCCCTGGCCTTGCTTTTTCTCCTCACCTGTTTGTGGATCCATTGTAGCAGTAGTTGGGCAGAAAGTCAAAGTTGAGCTCCCAGAAGACATGGAGGGTGATGCGCCCATAGGGCGCGGAGACATTGTGGTTGGCCTCCCGGAACATGGCATCAAAGCTGTCCAAAGTCATGTGCTTGCACAGCAACCTGTGAGTCAGGCGATTTATTTCCAAGAGCCACTCCAGCTCCTGCAGCACAGAAAGCAGCAGCAAATGCAACGTATTACCAAGATTACAATAGAAACAGCTGATTAATTGCCAGGAAAGTGATTTTATACGCACACCCACACAGAACTTTCCAGGTGAGGACGTAGCAAATGCTAAAGACATCAATTTAACTCAGTGGCCGAAGCCAATGGCAATTCTACTCAAGGGGTCCTGGTCCAGTATCTCCTAAACTGGCAGGAAGCAAAATTGATTTGTTCCTCACTGAGCACTGGCTGGCTTTCACATCAGAATCCTTCAAAGGTGGAAACTGGTAATTTTACACTACTTGACTCTGATGCTCCATATCAAAAATGATACCTCAGCCACCTTCATCCCACAGGGGGAATTAAAGTCAAGATTTCCTTCTCTGGACTGGACTCTCTTCTCCGCAAAATCTAACTGCTGACTGTCACCTTACAATTTACACAGATACTTAATGGTCCAATAATAATGCAATTAAAGCTGCCTAAATAGAAATAGTACAGACTCAGCAGCACAAAGGAGGATACATGGCTGGATAAAACCTACTGTAGGTGGGACTTGAAGCAGAAGACAGTTGACTGTGTATCCATAGCAGTGTATTATTCTCTCTATTTGTACTCTCAGTCAATAACATTTCTTACCACTATGGATGTCAGGTCCTCGCTCTCAAAGCGGCTAATGGCCTGGTCTAATGATTTGTACATCGCTGCTGAGATACGCTGGGTAATGAGCCTGTTCAGGTCAATTGATCTACCCAGCAACTGGGAAAAGAAGAGAAAACATTTGCACATTATATACAGATGGAGAAAAGGTACTTTTATCTTTTTTTAACAGACACAAATTAAAACCAAATATCCAAGTATGCTTAAATGTGAAAGTGGTGATGCAAACCACTCAGCTGAATTTGACATTACTTAAGAGGGAAGGAGGGAAATATGAAGTGTAACTAATTTTCCCCTCGGGCTCCATGCCCTGAGTGCACTTGTCAGAAACAAGTTCAACCCTTCTCATTCCAGCACTCTCCTTGACTAAGCCCAGCACTAGGGTGCCAGCCACCAACAAAAGAATAACAGACCAAGAGCACAGAGTACTGGAGTCTACTGCTTGCACTGTACCTGGACATGTCTCTGCTTGAGCAGCGTTTCATAGCGGTTGGATGGTGGGTATGGAATAATGACCCCATAATTCTTACATTCAGCCCGGAAACGTTTGTCCAATAAAACACTGGAAAAGGGAAGCAGTGTCAGGGAAAAAAAAGAAACATACACTATCAGCTTCTCCCTGGATCTTTCCCAGAGTTGTTTCCATCCTTCTTTTCATCTTGCTCTGAATGCCAAGAAATTTCCACACACTAACAACTCTGCTTTCACTACTAAATCAGAGAGTAGTGGTTGTTATATGGGGACTGCCATGCTGTTGTCCATTGTTCTCAGCTTTTATGGATAAAACATTCCAAAAGATAAAAGACTGAAAAGTTATCACTAGTGCCAGGTGCTGGCGTGCTCCCTCCTTGGAGATCTGCTGTGGGAACATTTGGTTGGTGACAGTGACTGTTCTCCTTTAAGGCTAAATGTGATCTAGAGACAAAACTCCTTGCAGAGTTACACAGAAGACTTGGTTCACCTTTGGGGACATGAGAGGAGGACTCTCATTAGAGTTCATCCACGTTCTTTGAATGGTTAGAAGGAAATGTCACGAAGGGCCTATATCCCACATGGGAGCAAGTGACTCTGCAGAAGTCCTACAGTCAGCTGGTCTGATGTGTGACCTAAGATACTGAGTACCCTTCTGGCCATTACGAGTCCTGCTGCTTTATTAGGGTGAGGACAAGTGCATGGTCCTGTTTCTTAGAGATGGGAGGTTTTCACTCCTTATCTGCCTGCTACACAAACAGAAGTCAAGCAAGGACGTGTCTTCAATAGGCTCGGTTTGCTTTTCTGCTGCTCTCACAAATTGTACTCAGACAGCTACTTAGGATGCCAATTATTATTTTTTCACTTTTAACTATTGCCACCATTAATTAACTTTCCCCATCTACACTGATCTGACATGGACAGCCAGCTCTGCGGGACAGGGATGATCTATTTTGTTATGTCTACCTGCAGTGGCTACTCCCTGAGGGGAACCTTTTGCTTAACAGCAAGTTGGATGCAGTGATATCATCGCTCATCACCAGCAGTCGGGTTCTCCTACCTGCCAGCCATTGCTTTATAATAGGCAAAGATCTGATCTGCCAGCTTGTACACAAATTGATCAAAGCACAAATTCACCTGGGGGAGAAAAAACAAGACATCATGAGGGTATCACCAGCACAGAGCAGCTCCTTCCTACGCATGCAAGATCAATATGACCCAACATAGAGCTCTAATGAAACTTCTCAGTCTGATGGAATATTTTTTTCAGGAGATCCCGATAACAAATTCACTGAACTGGTGGGCGGGACTGTCAAACACGGCAGTGTGATCCCAGTGAGCTCTTTCCATGCAATACAGATGAAGAAAACTTACTTCAGCTTCAATTTCATCGTATAGGAACTGCTTTTTGAACTTGGTCAAGGCATAGTATGCGCTGTCATTATAGAGGTCCAAGGGGTACAGTACATACCTGAGGGCAAGAAGACAGATTATGTCTTAAATTAACTTTGGAGCATATAAGCAGAAATGGCAGACACTGCATGTGCCCTGCTGAATGCAAAAACTGGCTTTTCTCTGACTTCACTCTTATCACCTCCACTCCCTCCAGCCCCTCAAATACTCCCTCTCGCTCCTTGCGTCCTGCTGGAAGCAGCTAGAACAGATCTCGATTTGAGGTAACTGTGACTTGTTCAATCAACACTTGCACTTTCTCTGCCCTTAAAAAAGCTTTCATCCTGCCTTCGCTCCACAGAGTGCTCTGACAATGGCTGTAAAATGGAAGCCAAAGTTTCCCTAATGAGGAAGATATTATGAACATAATTACACTTGCATAACAGCAATTCCTCTCATCATTTATCATGTATATAAAAAAAAAAAAAAGTGTTTAGGTGCCTTAGCCAGGGCCCACATCCCGTTGGTTGCACATGCTGTCTGACTGCTGCATGCAGATGACGGTACCACCAAGCTGTGCCCACATCTAAGTAGAGCAGTTGCCAACTGCTGATTTATGATGCATAAGTAAGTGCCAGTGCCAGGAAGCTGCCTGTGTGCGTCTGCTAACGAGGTATTCATACAGTACACATTCATGTGACAGCAAGTCAAGAAACATCTATTTTCCCTCCCACGTCAAAAAAATTGTTCATCACCAGCCTACCCTTCTCCAAAACAAAATCCCAAGCCCCAGAGCATGCACAGTCCCACCACAGCCCATCAGCTCTTACTCCATCATGGAGGGTTCTTTGGTTTCCAGAATATGGTCCGTGAGGATCCAGGGCATGGACATCTCGATGGGAAACTGGATGCGACGGCCCATGGTCAGCTCCAGGAAGAATTCCCGGAACCAGAGCTGGGACAGGTCGCAACACTGCTGCAGTGCTTCTGAAACGTAGAGGAGATCCTCCCCAGTGGGAGGCCACCCGTGTTATCCCCATGGGGACGGCAGTGAGGGAAGAGCACAGGAGGCAGCTGCCGCAGCCTCATATTGGACTGGTTTTGGGTAGGGAACACGTTCCTAGGATGTCTCTTTTCAAACCCAGACCATGTCCATGATGTCTGAGCACTTTGTAATGGAAGAAGAAAGAAGGGATCGTTCCTTTTGCTCTAGAGCTCCAGGAAGAACATTTCAATGGCTCAGAGTTACTCTGAAGATTTCTTCTGTGCCCAGTAGCTCAGAAGTTTGTCTGGGGCAAAACGTCTCCAGTCCTAGAAAATAAACTACCACCCATGGCTATTTGCTATTGCTGACTCATTCCTGTTCACATAACGATTACTACCTAGAAACATGCCTGAATCAAGCAGAAGTAGGACATTTGGGAAAAATCAAGGAAAATCTTCTGCATATGAGAAACAAAGCTGATCTACCTTTGCCTTTCTGAGCATGCAAGAGTTGGATTCAAGCTTCCCCCTGCCATAACCTCACCACTGATGTTGAGAAGGTGGGTGAAGAAGAAAGACTGCTTGTGGAACTCCTCAATGGCCAAGACTATTGGCCCATCCAAGCTGCTCCTCAGAGTCTTCTTTGAGCCACTCTTGTCTGCTATGAGGGACTCCAGCATGGTCCGCACCATGTAAAGCTTTGGAAGAAAGTTGACATGCAGTTACCACTCTCCAGTGAGACATCACCACACACAGCCATGGTACTCTACAACAAGAAAGAACACTTCTCCTGGGTGGCTACTCCTCTCTGCACCCATAAGGCACTATCTGTCTGAGCTAGAAATAATTGGGAATCATACAACAAATGAGGCACCAAAGAAACATTTAACACACAATAGTATGAAGACTTTGCAGAATAGCCCACAGAAACAGCTGCTAATCCACAGGGTGGGAGACTCCTACATGGCTATAAGATCATTAATTCCCTACA